TCAGAGCTCGGTGTCAACAGAGCTTGCTAGGGTAGACAACTCACACGGAGGCAGCCCAGACAAATTTCCACACACACTTACTACTCTGCAATCTACATTAACAGAACCATAAATTCCAATATTAACCCTGAACTAAAACACTTTCTTGATAGTTGTGACAGGACCCATAGGCATAATACCAGACACAAACATCACTATGACATTCCTGGTGTCCGGGTAAATCTATACAAAAATTCAATGTACATAAAAGGGCCTAAAATCTGGAACTCCCTACCTGAAAACTCCAGAACTGCCGACTCAGCCACCATTTTCAAAACCACCGTTAAAAAACACCTTATCTCCCTAACACACCCACCGGTAGCTAACACACCCACTGGTAGCTAACACACCCACTGGTAGCTAACACACACCACCGGTAGCTAACACACCCACTGGTAGCTAACACACCCACTGGTAGCTAACACACCCACTGGTAGCTAACACACCCACTGGTAGCTAACACACACCACCGGTAGCTAACACACACCACCGGTAGTTAACACACACAACCAGTAGCTAACACACACCACCTGTAGCTAACACACACCACCAGTAGCTAACACACACCGGTAGCTAACACACACCACCGGAAGCTAACACACACCACCAGTAGCTAACACACACCACCAGTAGCTAACACACACCACCGGTAGCTAACACACACCACCGGTAGCTAACACACACCACCGGTAGCTAACACACACCACCGGTAGCTAACACACTCCACCGATAGCTAACACACACCACCGGAAAGTTTAACCACACACCACCGGTAGCTAACACATTCCACCGGTAGCTAACACACACCATCGGTAGCTAACACACACCACCGGTAGCTAACACACTCCACCAGTAGCTAACACACCACCGGTAGCTAACACACACCACCGGTAGCTAACACACACCACCGGTAGCTAACACACTCCACCGGTAGCTAACACACACCACCGGTAGCTAACACACACCACCGATAGCTAACACACACCACCGGTAGCTAACACACTCCACCGGTAGCTAACACACATCACCGGTAGCTACACACTCCACCGGTAGCTAACAACCCACCGGTAGCTAGCACACACCACCGGTAGCTAACACACACCACCGGTAGCTAACACATACCACCGGTAGCTAGCACACTCCACCGGTAGCTAACACACACCATCGGTAGCTAACACACACCATCGGTAGATAACACACTCCACCGGTAGCTAACACACACCACCGGTAGCTAACACACACCACCGGTAGCTAACACACTCCACCGGTAGCTAACACACTCCACCGGTAGCTAACACACTCCACCGGTAGCTAACACACTCCACCGGTAGCTAACACACTCCACCGGTAGCTAACACACTCCACCGGTAGCTAACACACACCACCGGTAGCTAACACACACCACCGGTAGCTAACACACACCCCCGGGTAGCTAACCAAAACCACCGGTAGCTAACACACCCACCGGTAGCTAACCCCACACCACCGGTAGCTAACACACCCAATGGGTAGCTACACACCCCCATGGGTAGCTAACAACCCATCGGTAGCTAACACACACCATGGGTAGCTAACACACTCCACCGGTAGCTAACACACTCCTGGAAAGCTAAACACACCACCGGTAGCTAACACACACCACCGGTAGCTAACACACACACCACCAGTAGCTAACACACACCACCGGTAGCTAACACACACCACCGGTAGCTAGCACAAAACCACCGGTAGCTAACACACACCACCGTACTAACACATACCACCGGTAGCTAACACACACCACCGGTAGCTAACACATACCACCGGTAGCTAACACACACCACCGGTAGCTAACACATACCACCGGTAGCTAACACACACCACCGGTAGCTAACACACACCACCGGTAGCTAACACACACCACCGGTAGCTAACACATACCACCGGTAGCTAACCACATAAAAACTACCTTAGCTTGCTCATATCCAAAACAAAATCCGAGTGGGGATCTGTAACAAGTGGCGTTCCACAGGGATCAGTCTTGGGCCCGTTGTTGTTTATAATATATATCAATGATCTTGATGAGGGAATTACTAGTGATATGAGTAAATTCGCCGATGACACAAAGATAGGTAGGATAATTGATTCAAACGTAGATGTTATGGAACTTCAGGAGGATTTAAACAAACTCTATTCTTGGTCAGAAAAGTGGCAGATGCAGTTCATGTAGATAAATGCAAGGTTCTGAAGCTTGGGAGTGCCCATAACCCTAGTACTTATAAGTTAAATGATGTAGAACTTAGCCATACAGATTGCGAAAAGGACTTGGGGGTTATGGCGAGCAGCAACCTTAAACCAAGACAGCAATGCCTAAGCGTACGTAATAAGGCAAAAAGATAAATGGGAAATTTTTATCAAAAGTGTAAGCAACAGAAGTCAGAGGTCATACTGCAGCTTTATACATCATTAGTAAGGCCTCACCTAGAAATTTTGCAGCTCAGTTCTGGTCTCCGTATTACAAAATGGACATAAATTCGTTAGAAAACATTCAGCGTAGGATGACTAAATTAATACATAGCATTAGAAATCTTCCTTATGAAGAAAGATTGAAGACTCTTAAGTTACATTCACTTGTTAGACGAAGACTGAGGGGAGACCTGATCGAAGTGTATAAGTGGAAGATAGGTTTTAAATAAAGGGGATATTAATAAAGGTCTTGAGGATGTCTCTCCAAGAGAGAACCCGCATTTAATGGATTTAAATTAGATAAGTTTAAATTTAGAAAGGATATAGGAAAGTATTGGTTTGGAAATAGGGTAGTTGATGAGTGGAACAGTCTACCTAGTTGGGTTATTGAGGCTGGGACTTTGGGTAGTTTCAAATTTAGGTTGGATAAGTACATGAGTGTGAGGGGTTGGATTTGAGAGGGACTTTCACATCAGAGCTTATTTCTTGGATGGCATTGAAAACTGGGTTGGGCAAATGTTTTGTTAGTGGGATGAATTGTAAAGGACCTGCCTAGTATGGGCCAACAGGCCTCCTGCAGTGTTCCTCCTTTCTTATGTTCTTATGTACACTTATTTGATATCTGTGATTTCCCCTAATTTACACTAATTTACACTAATGATTCAACATAAAATTTTGAATCTAGCTTTTTGCTACATGATTCTTAAGCTAGTCATAGGAGCTTTAATAGAAGTTATAGTTATAGAAGCTTTATATAGAAACTGTATCATGCCAAGATGAGACCATTCCCAATTATAGACAAACTAATTGTTATTTTTTTAAATGTGTTGAACTACCTCACTTTTGTAAATCTACTTTCCTCACTTTAATACCAGTATGATTCATAACCTGTGTCAATATAGAGTAAGAAATAGTATTAGTTTGCCTGAAATACCTAGGCATACTAGTGACCTTCTTCGTAATAAGTACTTTACTTTATAATTATCTTATAATATGTAAACCACACATAGAGAAATAAACATTCGAATATGAATTTGAATTTGAATTCTGGGATTAAATAGTTACACTCAACTAATTAATACACCAACCCTGGTCACACAGTTCTCAGCCTACATATTAGACCATATCCTTTGTTATCTCTCTGACAACATTAGTCAGTCAGGCGTCATTACCAGATGTCTTAACAATCATTTAGTCACTGTACCAGGAAAATCATTAGGGATCGGACAGGCCTACACGGGACAATTAAAATGAAGTCAGCTAGAAACTACAGTAAAGAAATACTGGTTATAGGCTACAAAATTGTGATCGGACAGCGATTACAAGTTGCACGGACGTAAATGATTTCTGGGAAAAATTCAAAACAATGTTCACTGTCTCGTTGATAATATTGCATCAGTTAAAGAGGTCATGATTAAACGAAGAATCGAACCCTGGATGGCTACTGAGATATTAGAAAATGTGAAATTCAGGGACCAGTTGCTAAAAAGATTTATGATAAACAGGCAGGATTTTGCAGCGCTAAATGAATTCCAGAGACTTAGGAACAGAATATAGAGATTCATAAAAGGAGCAAAGGGCATTATTGCTCAGAAATCGAAGTGTACAAGAGTAACCTCAGAAAGCTTTGGCAACAACTAAAACAGTTGAGGTATAGCCATAAACTCAGTTAGATTTACCATGTGGATAAATATTGAAAACGAGATATGCCACAAGACGACTAAAGTTGCTAATTGTTTTAGTTCATACTTCACTTCTGTAGTAAGAAACCTGTCAGTTGCATCAAATACCTTTAACACAGACTGATAAATTTAAAACATATTTCACTAATATGGGCATAACTCGAATAGTTGCCTACTAGTTGGGTTATCTTATGACTTCGTACGAAAAGAACTAAGTAAATTAAACCCAACTAGGAGCACCGGTCCCGATAACATCTCGCCTAAGTTTCTAAAGGATAGCGCCTATTAATTACCAATTCCCACTTCACACATAATAAATTTGTCCATAGCCACAAATACTTTCCAGGAGGGATTCAGGGAGGCCAGAGTTGTGATGTCCAAAATTCTAGAGAAGGCGATATACTGTCAAGTAGTTAAGTATCTTGATAACAAAAACATTTTCCTAATTATCATTCAGATTCAGGTTCAAGAGATCTCATTCAACCGACATCTCCCTCATTAATTTAATGACTACTTGAGAACTTAATTCTCGCTAGGGAATTTCATAGGTCTATAGTGACCTTAGACTAGCTAAAGATCTTCGAGACGGTCAACCACTATGTAACTGTATTTGTGTATACGTGGTTAAACTTACTTATTACATAAGAAATATTTGAATCGAACATGTTAGTCAAATTTTAATAGTCTTGGGTGACATATAACAAAAGTGCCTTTCTTATTATGTAAGGTATGTCTTAAACATGTTATACCAGATAATGTACATACCATTTAAAACAAGATTATGAGTCTTCATTTTAAACCATAATATTAGGATTTTAAAATCATTAGGCTCACCTGTACTGGCTGGGCTCATTAGCTGTGGTGGCTCTGACTTTGCTTACTAGGATACGAATGATGTTCACCACGAAGATGATGTTTATCTGTAACCCGGGACAAAGAAAATGAATGACACGTTGTGCATTATATATTGCGTACTGAGAGGAAAATAAATATGGCAATAAATTAATCTGAAAATGAGCAAGTCCTCGTAAACCTGATATCTTCTATAATTCGAGTTCATGATATGTATCAGCTGAGAGATATATGATCTATGGATGACTTCGTTAAACACTAACTCACTAGTCTCATATTACATGTCACAAGTGGTAGTTTATGATGGAGTGGTAAGTATGTTATGTAGGCACTGTGTAAGTGAATAAGTGGGCCCCTGGGGTTTGTACACGATTGAGAACCTTTTAGTGCTGTATTAGGACCCTAAACAAGACCCCTATCGATATGGGGATTACAGGTAAAATCCCACATAAACTTTATCTTACTAGGAACTTAAAGATACCCACCCACACAGGCTCCTCTTGCGTCGGCAGAAATAGACTGAAAAGAAATAATTGCTGACAGAAATATTTAAAGACTAACACAGTGTCACACCTAAACTGCCTGGATAGGAGGACTTGAAAGCAACTCTCAGCGATGCCACACACACACACCAATGTGGCTCAGGAAAGACTTCAAAGCAACAAAGAGCAAAACTCTCCCAGAACACCATTTTGCCTTGAAGAGAACTTAAGAGCTACTGACGAAAAGAGTCAGAGAGGACGTGTCTAGAGCAATGTTACACAACGTCAAAGTGACAGAGGCAAAATAACAGGCATTTAAAACTATTACTTCATAACATGTAATAATGTTTTGACCAGTCAATGGCATGAAATAACACGACTTCTGTATGTACGAATATTCAGATAATACAATATATTCCTAATACTAAAAACGTATATATTATTTACTTGAAAATTTTCAGCTCGAAATATTTCAGTCGAACATGGAATAAATAAAAAACATATAATACTGTCATAATATATGAATCTAGACATAAAATAAGGTGTACATGAGGTCTTCGAGACTCACACATACGCGCACAGATAACGTCTCTCTGTGGTTCGTGAGACAGGGAGGAGATGCACAATGTGTGCCACTTATAATTATTTGCAATAAATCTATTGAAACTGGGCAAGTACCTGAAGTGTGGAAGACAGCAAACATAGTCCCAATTTTTAAGAAAGGAGACAGATAGGTAGCACTAAACTATAGACTTGTGTCGCTGACATGTATTGTATGTAAAGTTATGGAGAAGATTAACAGAAGAGTGCTGGAAAACCTAGAAAGGAATGGGCTCATACATGACAACCAGCATGGCTTCAGGGGAGTGAAATTCTGCGTCATAAACCTACTGGAGTTATACGGTAAGGAAACAGAAGGCAGGAGAGAGAGGGTTTGGTAGACTACATCTTCTGGTTGAAAAGCTAGAATATCAGGTAATGTACTGCAATGGATCAGGAAATACCTTACTGGAAGGAAACTTGTACGTGTGGAGTTGTCAGAGTGGGTGCATGTGTCTAGTGGGGATCCACAAAGGTCAGTCCTAGGTCCGGTGCTGTTTTTAATGTATGTAGATGACATAACAGATAGGATAGATCCAGAGGTGTTACTGTTTGCAGAAGATGTGACGTTAATGAGAAGAATATGAACGGATGCGGATCAGGTATGACTGCAAAGAGATATGGACAAGCTGCAAGCCTCGTCCGACAAATGGCTCCTGCAGTTTAACCTCAATAAGTGAAAAGTCATGAAGTTTGGGGAATGACAAAGAAGACAGCAGACTGAGTACGGTCTAGGAGGTCAAAAACTGCAAAACTCACTTAAGTTAAAGGATCTTGAGGTGAGCATCATACAGAGCACATTTCCTGAGGTGCACAGTAACCAAATAACTGCTGCAGTATATAGGCGTCTTATGAACCTAAGAATACCGTTTTGATATCTAAATAAGGAGTCATTCAAGATATTGTACACAGTATAAGTCAGGCCCATATTGGAGTATGCAGCACCAGTATGGAATATACACCTGGCCGAACACGTCATAAAATTAGAGAAAATGCAGCGGTTTGCAATAAGACTAGTCTCGAAGCTAAGATGTATGCAGTACGAGGAGAGGTTAAGGGAAATCAATCCGACGGCACTGGAAGAACAGAAGGCAGGAAGAATAGAGAGGACATGATAGCGACAAATAAAATACTGAGAGAAATTGACAAGGTAGATAGGGACAGAATGATTCAGAGATGTGACACAGCAACAGGGGGTCACAACTGGAAATTGAAAACTCAGATGAGTCACAGGGATGTTATTTATGTTAGGAAGTATTTGTTCAATCATAGATTTGTCAGGAAGTGAAACAATCTGGAGAGTGATGTAGTGAAGGCAGGATCCACACACAGCTTTAAGAAGAGGTTCAGGAAAGCTCATGGAGAAGGGAGAGAGTGGACCTAGTAGCGCCTAGCGAAGAGGTGGGGCCAGGAGCTATGAATCGACCCCTGCAACCACCACTAGGTGAGTACACACACACATATACATATACACACACATACAAACAAATAAGTCTCGGCAACCTTATCTCTGGAGTGCTGGGTATCAGCAGGACGCGAGGAGTGCTGGTACTCACCAAGACGCGAAAAGTGTAGGTATCCCAGACAGCGAGGAGTGCCGAGTACTCCCCACGAACCAAAAGAGCGGCATTTTGATGACCCTTCAAGTTTTTCCCAACCGGGGACGTCCAGCTGAGTTTAGGGTGACCAAGTCCAGTGAGACATGAAAGGGTCTGGTATCGCGGAAAAAACCCTTAAGGAATACAGTGAGGTATGCAGCTGCACCCTGAGGAGGAAAACGCACTGTTAGGGAGGTACAGCGCAAAAAATGTACGGGGTACAGCGCCCCATATACGGGGGTACGCAGCACCAGTGTCGGGGTACAACGAAACCAGTGTGGAGGTACAGAGCGCCAGTATACGGGGTACGCCACCAGTATACGGAGGTACAGCGCACCAGTGTACGGAGGTACAACAGCCCATAACGGAGGTAAAACAGAAACCGTGTACAGGTAAACCACAGTGTACGGAGACAGCCACCGTATCGGAGGTCGCAACCATGTACGGGGTAAAACACCCATTTTACGGGGGACAGCACCCAGTGTAGGAGGTGCAACAGCACCGGTACGGGGGTACAGCACGCCAGAAATGGAGGAAAGCACACCCCAGTATACGGGGTACAGCACACCATTTTAGGAGGTAAACACACCAGTGTACGGAGGTACAGCGCGCCATATCGGAGGTACAGCGCACCAGTAAAGGGAGGTCAGCAGCCCCAGTGTACGGGGGTACAAAGCACCGTGTCGGGGGTACAGCAGGCCAGTATACGGGGGGTACAGCGCCCCATTACGGGGTACAGCAGCCCCTTGAACGGAGGACAACAGACATTACGGGGGTACAGCGCCCCTATACGGAGGTACGACACCAGTATACGGAGGTACGCAGCACCTGTAGGGAGGTACGCAGCCCTAAGGGAGGTAAGCACCCAGGTACGGGGGAAAAACGGCACCAGTGACGGGGGTCAGCACCCCAGTTACCGAAGCACATTGAGTTCCAAAACCCCGGTGTACGAGACTCAGTGATTTCAGATTTTTCCGTTAAAAAGGAAAAGTGGGGTACGCAGCCCCATGTACAGAGGTACAGTGAGGTACAGCACCGCCAATGGGAATCGTGTACCTCTGAAAGTCCCTTCGGCATGGGTATCGGGGGGATCACCTGTAATGGTGTCATATGGTGAAAAAAGCACCGATCCCACCCGTACTTTTTAAAAAAAATAATATTATTTGTGGCATGTAGTGGTCGATTCCACTGCACTAAATTTACTTTTACTCATTTTTAATTTGGGGCTGTAAAGTGGAGGTCTAGATTATTCCAGTCACAGTTTTGGGTTTGGTTGGGAAAATTCCCCCCGAGTGATGCGCATTCACTTGCAGGGTTACACGCCTAGCATAGTGCAGAAATTTTTTCCCAAACAGTTTTTTTAACCTTGCTTGTGAGGTGAAATTTCAGCTGGTCTCTTTGTGCGAAAGGGTATCCCCGTACGGTGCCACTAGTCTGCTGGGGTCATAACCTCTTCAACTGATATATATCTATAAATTTCCTTTCCCCAGCCCCGCGGGTTTAAATTTGGGGGAAAAATAAAAACGGGCAAAAAATGAGAAGTGTTTTATGCCCCCTTTGCTTAACCTGCTGCAGGTGCTCAATCCACGCGTTTCATCCAGGAAAAAAGTTCAGGACTTTTCTAAAATGAATTTTAAAAAAGAAGTCGTTCCCCAGTTTGGGGCGACAGGGGTTTGGGAGACTCGTAGAGTAAATTAGCTTTGGGAGAGAAGCCATGGAAAAATAAAAAGCTTTACTCCCATCGTTGTCTCTGATCCTGGTTTATACTGCTTGACATAAAAAATTTTTTTTTTTCCCAAAATCTCCCCCCATTTTTAGATAAGCCAAGGGGGGCTCCCAGAGAAAAAATCAGGAGTAAAAAACATGACTTCCGGAAGAGCAGCTTGAATGTTCAATTGTTTGCAAAAACACCATTTTTGATTTCGAGGGGTTTTGGGAAAAGTTCAAATCTTCTATGTTTTTTGTTAATTATGAGTCTTTTAGGGGGTTTCTTTGGTTCTCGCTAGTGTGATCATCCAAAAACCCAGATTTTGAGTCACTATCATTTTTCCCAGACCTTCTCGTGAGCCCAGTTTGCGTTCTCCATGGAAGATTCGAGTCACGTTGTAGAAGAGTGGATAAATGGATGAGTACTGAGAAAATTTTAACACTTTTGATCAGGCCTCCCTACGCCCGATTAAAGGTTTTTGCAAGGCAAATTCTTAGGGATTGCTGGAGTTGGGTTTACTGGGCAGGAAATGCTGCCCAGGGGCTTCAAAACCTTGGGGGTTTCCTAAGCCTAGGTTGCATTGATCACACCACGATGGTGATCATGATCACTGTTTTCACTGGCCCGGGAAGAAGTAGATAGGGAGTTGAAACGGGGTCGCTGGATTTCTTTTTCCTTTC